TGACATTTATACTGCTCTCAACCCCAATTAAAGTACACAGGCTCTGAACACTTTACAATACAACACAACGTACAACAGTAACCTAAAACGTTGTGTTCTGACTAAAAGAAGATAACTCCAAATATTCATCTTATTAATTTTAAAAAAGAAACGACTTCAGATGACATTTGAATGAATCAAAAGATTTGATCTCTCTTAAAGTACTTGGTAAAGCATTCCAGATCTTAGGGCCTATATATATTCAAATGCCCTTTCAACCATTGTCTTAAATTTCAAGGAGGGTAAAATAAATTTCATTTTGTCAGCTGATGACCGTAAACTGCGAGTTACTATGTACAGTCTTAACAGATTTGATAAATATGATGGCGCATTATCATTCAAACATTTGTGACATGGGGCGGCCAATTTGTACACATTCCTTTTCTCAACAGGAAGCCAATGCAATGTCCGTAAAAGAGGTTTAGCAGAGTCTCGCTTTCTTTTCCGTAAAACTAAACGTGCTGCATTGTTTTGGACAGTTTGAAGTCTTTTAACGTTCTCCAGAGATGTTCCTGATAACAAGGAGTTACAATAATCGAGTTTTGATCAAATTAAGCTAGTTACTAGTAAAGTAATATATTAAGCATTGATCAGATGACGTATTTTACTAATTTTTCGTATTTCTAAATACATGCAGCTGATCAGATGATTTACCTCAGCCGACAGTGACAAATTGGAATCAAAATAAATGCCAAAATTCTTTATTTTTCTTTTAAATGTAATTTCCTCATCACCAATTGTCATTTGATCGTGGTCAACCTCTTTAACGAACTTTGCATTGCTTGTCAGAAGGACTTCTGTTTTATCATCATTCAACATCAATTTGTTTTTGTTCATCCAGTATTTCACTGAGGCAATACAATTTTCAACACGATGGACAAGTTCATCTATGTTTGTAAACATTGTTGAACAATAACATCAGCATACAAGTGATACTTTAAGTCATACTTAACTATTTCCTTGACAAGTAATAGAGCATAAATGGTGAACAAAACTGGACCAAGAACTGAGCCCTTGGGGACCCCATACTTAAGAGTATGATCTGATGACTTAAGCCCTTTAATAACAACAGATTGGTATCCATTTGACAAGTAAGAACAAAACCAGCTTAGGGCAGTCCCGGATAATCCAAAAGACACCTCCAATCGCTTCAATAATATATAATGGTCTATTGTATCAAAAGCTGCTGATAGGTCTAAAAGTCTCAGCAATGTTAGACAAACTATAATATTAAACCAATCTTTTTCAGAATTAAACATTAAACATTTGGAATCAGAACTAGTGTAAAATCGTCCACGCACACGCACGCACACACACACACACACGTACACACACACACACACACATACATACATACATACATACACAAACACACACACATACACACAAATACATACACAAACACACACATACACACACACACACACACACACACACACATAAATATACCAGCACATAAGAGAATAATGATAAATTCCACATAAGAACGAGAGTCGTTAAGATATAATATTTATGTCTCAGATCTTAGCAATCTTTATTTAAAAGTGGAGGAACATTTTTTTTGCATTTAATCGTGATTAACTTTAAGAGTGAACTTTGTGGGAGTCAAAGGAAGATTGCGTAACGCAGAGAAGGAGATAGATAGATATATAGATAGATAGATAGATAGATAGATAGATAGATAGATAGATAGATAAATAGATAGATATATAGATAGATAGATAGATAGATAGATAGATAGATAGATAGATAGATAGATA